CTTGTCGGTTATCCTCGCACACTACCCCCCTCTCCTCGCGCTCGATAGCCCTGCCCATCAATCCCCCCATAATCAACCATGGCCCTCATGCGAGGAAGGAGGGCTCGCCTGCTAACCCTTGTGCGAACCTCACATCGATGATCATTAGTGAGGGAGGAGTGAGAAGGTGACAGCAAGTTTAATAGACACAAAGAAGGCTAATATGGTCTGCGAAAATAGTTATGATCCTTGTATCCCCTCCTACCTCGCGTGTGGGCCATAACCAACCATAACGAAAGTCAACGGGCGAGTGACAAATGTGGGCAAAGGCACGATTATGGTCGATATTGCATGTAGGAATTTTTCAATGTTAAAAGGATAAAATAGTGTTTTCATGTAATCAGAGATAGTCTGTGAGAATTTTTCAGGCTTGCTATACTGTACAAGAAAAACTCAAAGTTATAGTTTTTTTTTAAAATTTACCCATTTAATTTAAATATATTCCTTATTTCTTTAATTTTATACGGTAACTAAATTGCTTGTCTTAGCTAATAAGATGATAATGTGCACATCCAAAGCTGGAATTATTCTTTTTTATTTTTTAGTTATTTCGAGTTTTTTAACCTCTATAATATCTCTTTATACTAAACGCACTCCCGACTCCCGACCAAGGAAGCTACACCTTAGTGATGGAGTCGAGAAGACCAAGGAAGCTACACCTATGGACCGATCGGAATGGAGGCCCATCAAAGCCATCTAATCGTATTGGATGTGTTCATAATGAGGAGTCCGTTGATTTTAATGGGTAATTTGCGTTTGAAGCATCTTTTCTGATGTTGCACAACATACTGAGACGGCCCAAAGAGTAAGTAAGTTCATATCATTATCAACTACAGGACCATCAAAGATTGATATGGTAATGATTAGAAGTTCCAAACAAAATTTTGTATATAAAGTTAATTCTTTTTTTTTTCAATAAAACTTGTTGAAAGAAAACAATATAAATAAAAACCTTGATTCTTATAACCCATTTTATAGAGCGAAAATGATGTGAAGCGAAAAAAGGACATGAGATGTGAATGGACATAAGATAGTCATCCATCACCATGGAAAGGAATTCGAATACAGTAATCATCCGGTGAATTAGGTAACTTACTATTCAGAAAACTATGCTACGGTAGCTCCAAAATACAGTCACTAATCAGCTTCATAAGGAGATTTGAACCCACTGCAGGATTCTAATACGTTAGTTAGTAATCTAAACTAGTGGACATCGACAATGACACTATTATCATATATTTTAATTATCTAATATATCACGAGGCAATTCAAGTTTAGTGTTTAAACTTACTTAGTCTCAAAAAAATCTTACAAAATTTATATCAGGACAAAGATAAATCTGATACTTAACAAATTTGGAAGATTTGAAAAGTCAAAATGTATTGTGTAATTAAAGTATTCGAAATAGTCTAAAAAGTGTGCTTTAACCTTTTTTACAGGGAGCTCGTGGAACGCTTGAAGTTAATCTATGGGTCGATTATAAAAAAATTATTGATCATTATTTGGTCATTGAGGTGCTCATCGAATCATCAAGCATTATGATTAAAAGCACATAGGTTATGTTAATGAGGTTACCGAGGTTCTGACTCATGTCTGACATCGAGTCAACGTAGATGCATGTAAGATGTCAATGTGTGTTAAACTAATAAGACGGAGTTCTTCTTGACGTGGGATGATGACTAGGGTTTGCTTCCAAAAGATGCATCGATGTATATGGCCTCCTCCACCTAAAGAGGCCTCACTAATTCCTATGCCAGCATATGAGATTCCTCCCCTCCTCCATATCCCTGATTAATGTATGTACGTGCTTGCAATCACATCCAACAAATAGATAGTCTTTCATGTCGGCAAAGGATTTAACTATAGTATGCCACCATCAGCAGTGTGCGAGGGAGGGGCACATTAGATAGTGAAAGGAGAAGTATCTCTGCCTTTGTGGCATTTGAGATCTGCATGCAATGCAATGTGACTGACTAGGGAAGGAAAACTACAGATAATGAATGACATGGAAACAAAGAGTTCAGCATTTAATCTCATCCTCAAAGTCCACATTCATTCATGGCAGCCTTATGCTTTGACAAGATAAAAAAAGAAGTTGATGGAACAAAGCTGTTCACGTGGTTAGATATTAAACAATACATATATTTCAAGAATCAGTGTTCAAGTTTGCCACGCTAACTAATCATGTGATGTTTAAATTCTACTAGGAAACATTTCTGTCAAAAGAGATCTAACACCAAATGCAGTTTTTTTTTTTTACAATCATGTTATTATTAGGCCGCATTGATTTTTTAGTTATATAAAATTTAAAATTAGAATCAGATCAATTTCGGACGATTTCAATTTTAGAATCGGTAGTTCCGTTTCGAAACACCTATTTATTACAATTGACAATAAGAAAAAATAAATAAATTTTATTGAGATTTAAACCAGGTTATTAGATTTTAAGTTTGAAGTATTGACCACTATAATATAGAATCCAATTATATATATATATATATATATATATATATATATATATATATATATTTCTTTTTTCATTCAAAATCGTTGATTTCGATTTTGAAAATCAAAGTCGAACCATATGATTTCAAATTTGAGTTAGTTTAGAATCGTTAAATCATGAACCCAATTCAATTATGATTGCAGACAAATTTGATTCTAAATGGAACTTAATCAAGATTTGATTGACAAGTATAAGAAAGAAAAAGAATAGTCTGTTCCAGCAAGTTATGCTCATGTTGATCTTACTACTATTTCCTTTATATTCTTGATAATAAAACAAATATTATTTCGATTGGGAATCTTAGGTTCATGTTGAAATATTCCTAAAGTTACTACTAGTTAGAAATTCCAAGTTATCTGATCAGAAGTTGTATTCCCTGATACCAACTGGAGAGGCTGTCGTCGTCGATGATTGGCAGTGACGATGGGATGGAAGCGGGTAACGTCAAGCAAATCGAGGTGGATAGGCTTATTGTTGATGACAAAAGTGTGAGTAGAGATTAGTGGGCATAACACTACTACTGTGACAACGGGAGAGGGATAAAAGCCAAAAAGCAAAGATGTTTGATGGTTGTTGGTTGCATGGGTTGTGATGATGGGAGAGTGGTAAAGATGTTTGATGAGGAGAGGAAAGAGAACAGATAAGGTAGAGAGTTTGGTCAATTACGGGCGAAGTTGATCTCAAGGGGTTGAGAGGAATTTGAGATAATATCGACTGAAAGGAGGAGAAGGAAGAAGCTATTTATTAGTTAGCTACTTAATATTTTTAAAAGTAATATATGATATGATTTTAGAATTTTAAATACAAGTGTTCAAATCAAATCGAAAAATCAAACTAAATAAGAATGGAACCAATTCGATCGGAACTCATTCACTAATATTTTGATTTTAAATATTATAAGGTATCTTATTTGATTTGGTTTACTCAATTTTAATTTAAAAAATATCAATTCAATTAACTATTCTAAGTCCTTAATCAATTCAAATTGATTAATTAAACTAACTCAAATATTCAATTTTACAAATAACGTGATCTCAATTTCACAAATATTATCGTGTCATATAATTAAAAATATATAATTAATTTGGATCAATTGAATTAAATTAATTAATTAAAAAATATATGTATTTAAATTATTTTAAATTATAAATCGATTAATTATTTGAATCGGACTAATCGAGTAGATAGATCCAAATTTGTTCAAATTATCTTACTTTAATCAAACCAAAAGAGAAAAAAAAAATTGATTTTTTAAATCCAACACCCTAATTTTAAATGCTTAGTTCATACTAATGTTTATATATATAAAATATATATATATATGTATATATATATATATACATATATATACATATATATATATATATACATATAATAATCGGTATTCAAACAAATCATTCATGTGTATTTAAAAGTCATATAATTTAAATTAGTATTATAATAATTGGTGTATATGACCTTTGTCTTCTTTGTATTTGGTTTAATGCACTCCAAGTATCTTTCACATTTATACTCATGTCCCAATGGTATCTCAATCGATCAATAATTATGAAGTTAGCTATGGTTAAAATGTGGCATTAGGCCTAAAATAAACCAAACTAATAATATTATCTTTAGGCTATCGCAATGCTATAGAATCTGAACAGTTTTTAGCGTTCTCTTTAACTTTTAATGGGTATTTGTGCAGATTATTGAGCGTCGTAAGCAATCTTCTCCTCTTCTTGCCAATTGACCAATAGAGCAAAAGACACGGACAATAATGCATGGTCTAGAGTGTTCTCATGTAAACATCAACTAGGTAAGGTTATATACCTAAACGATAGGGTATATATATATACACGAACCTTGAAGTAATTATTAATATATACAAGATCAAGGCCTTGTGACAGGATATATGTATGAGGGGTTTAAAGGTAAAAAAACGAGAGACGATTCTTCAAGCAAGCAGTAGTCTATTAGACATACACAGCATAGTAACCATCAAAATAAGACCAACTTGGTTGAAGGCATTTTTGTTTGCCGGTCAAAAAAAAGGAAGAGAGAGTGTTTTAGGGGACGAGCATGACCGGTGGTCGAGGAAGATGCCCAACTATAAATAATATTGGAATAATGTAGCTCCTCCTCCTAATTTAACTAATTAATCAAATCTTGGAGGCATGTGAATGAATGATCCCAACACAACCCGACACAAGCAGATACGGCTGGATTTTTACGCCATTAGTAAAGTTCATGATTCCCATGAACCATTCGAGGGATTTGCTAACTCATTATGCTACTCTTATTAGCTGGCACTTTTTGTTGTCATCCATATATATATTTTTATCATCATCAACGTGGCTCGATGTTTATTATTGTGTACGTAAATAGAGGAAATCAATACGAGAAATATCTCTTTTAAATAAACTTAAATTTAAGTTGGAAGTTCAAATTTTTATCAATAACTAAGATTAATCGATGAATGATAAAAAAACTTATTGCTCCTTTTATTGATTGAAGTCGGTACAACAGTTTTCAAAGTTGGTGATTTGAACGTCTTCTCTCGTTTCGAGTATCGGACAGAAGAATCCCACAATATCCAAAGTATGACTTGGAAAGACACAATAGATTACACAGCATTCAACTCTACCCACTTCCTCCTTTCTCCGTATCATCATCATCATCATCATCATCATCGAGGCCCCTTCGGCAATACTGTTGAAACCGATCTGCAATCTCGTGTGGCACTGACATGATCATGGTGAAAGCATGCAGATCTCCGGTCACTGGCAGGAACACGCAGTATATCTCACTCGCCAGCGGACCCATGTGAAGCGGCCTTCCTCCTCCAAAGTCCAACTCCTCCAACCCCAGCTTCGTCCATGAAGAGATTACCAAGCTCGATGACAGGTCGGGTTTCACCCTCCTCTCCTCCAACAGATCGATCATGGACCTCACGTACTCACCCGTCACGCTCTTCTTGGCCTCTTGGACCAATTTAATGCCGTGGTGCGCGTTGGACGTGACCAGCTCTTCCACCGACGTCTCCGCGCACGCCAGCACAAACCCGTTGCCGTAGTAGCCGCCGGGGAGCTCTGGCTTCAACCTTCCGCGCACGTTCATGGAGAATAGGAGCTTGATGCGAAGAGAGGCTGGAGGATCAAGCGACTTAATCCAGGCGCGCCATACATGCGAGGCTAAGACTTCGAAGGAGGTGCATTTGATGGAGGGAACGCTCTGCTTCTTGAGATGGAGGATCTGAGAGGGGGTAAAGGTCAAGGAAACGGGGACTAATGGCTGGGAGAGAAGGAATTGGAAGAGGTCGCCGGAGTGGGAGTCCTGTGCTGGTGGGCTACTGAATTCGGGGTGGGAGAAGGCAATCTCCGGTGGAACTCGAGGCTTTAGAATGCAGCGATCGTGGAAGGCATTCACGGGAAGATTGGCGTCAGGCTTGGCGGCGAGCAGCGCCCAGGCATGGAGGAACTGTGCCGTCCCGATGGCGTCGCTAAGGCAGTGATTTATTGCGGTGCAGAGGATCATGCCGCCACAGCTTAGATGAGTCACCTGCTCCACACACACACACACACACACACAGCAGATTAGCAATGATGGTGATCTCTGATCAGTTTTAGTGCTGCTTCAATCGATATGTTCTCCATTGGTGGTGCACCAACCGTTAGTGGTGGGAAAGCTGACTCCCAACATGATAACACAGTGGAAAAGCTAAGGTTGAGTCATTTTCTCGAAAAGCAAGAAAATTATTGCAGTGATTATATGTCAGGTTTACTGAAATCTGACATATAATGAGATTGATGCTCCAATAAAGAGCAGAGCATGAACACCCGAAGCTAATGCCAATCTTTGTACGCTGCAATATAGCATATCGAAACAGAGAAGCAGCCGAAGAAGAAGAAGAAGAGGAGGACTCACTTGAACAACGAGCGGAGGGACGTCAAGAAAGCTCTGTGCTTCCACCCGGTACAAGAGCTTCCTCCAAGACCTGTTGGGCCTTCCGCAGCCCTGCAGGAACTCCTCCGCCGTGAGATCGACATAGGCCTCGGCCAGAAGCGCTCCCTCGCCGTTGCAGTCCACTTGGCACTTCTCGCCGTCCTCGCCGACGGGTCTCAGCCTCCCTGCAAGCGGATGGTACTCCACGAGAACCTTGGAGAGGGAGGTGGTGAGGGCCTCCACCCCCACCGATCTCTTGTACACATAGAGGTACTTGATGGAGAACCTCAAGAACTTCTGGTCGTCGAGGTTGGAGAGGTAGAGGGTGTGCCTGGGCTTGCTGCTGCTTGGGCGCACCAGGACAGGCTCCTTTGGGTAGCAACAGTCTGGGATTTCTATAGACTTTGCCATGGCCGCCTCCGCCATTTCCAAGGCATGGGACACACCTCCATTGGGGTAGAGGACGGTATATATAGACGGAGATATCAGATATACCAGAGATTCCAGGTCACAGAAAGAGACAGGTGGGTGACGGGAGGAGAGAAGTGGAGTATATATCTGTTGGTGAAGACGAGATTTTGGATGATAGATAGATAGATAGATAGATAGATAGATAGATAGATAGTTTGACAATGGGTCACAAGAGAAAAAGACTGAAGAATTCCTTATATCAGCTGAAGGGAGATGGATGTATTCATGAAGAACATTAGACCCACGTTTGCTTACTACAGTTTCTGTAATCACCTGATTTTTATTTCTTATTTTTTTTTAAATTGAAGATTCTCTAATTAGTATTTTTATAATAATTTTTAAAAATAAAATTATTTTATTAATTACCCACTTGATGGATAAAAAATAAGATAAAATATTATTGAAATTAGTTCCCCCGGCATGAGATTTTCTGAAACCTCACACTGTAGGAAGCTCATACGGTCATGAGATCTCCAAAAGATTGGACTCTCTCTAAATGTGTTATTCACTACTTTTACGACAAAAGCTTCCAAGTGTCCTTAATTAGAGATTTTAATTGCCAACATACAAGATTAACCACTAATTTAGTATCAAAAAATACCCTCATATCTTTAATCTACTCAGTTAATGCTTGCTTTAGATCTTCGATGATAACTAGACAATAAGCCTATTTGATCTATTTACCTACGCTAGGAATAGCATCTGCAATCTTTGTTCGTCCATAATTATGTATATTGTCCTAACAATATCAAACAACAGACATAATGAGTAACATATTTATATCAGATATATAATTTATTATATGTTTAAATGTGAATACCCTTCGTATTAAAGTCCTCGCCATATCCCTTAAATATGATTATAATTATGAGTAGTAGCAACTCTCCTAGTCCAAATTGATCAAGGCCTTTCTTGTTGCTTGTGAAAATGAGAATTATTTGATTGCACCACAAAAGCTATAGAGAATTTGCAATAAGACCTCTTAATTACCAACCATAATGTTTTTCGAGATATGATATTTACTGTAATCATTTTCCTCTCCATTAATTATTAGAATGTGAGACTAAGTTCTTGTTGGACTATAGTCCAAAAGTGGACAGTAAAAGAACGTTCCCAAATAAAAAGTTTTGACTTCATCATTGTGTGGATGGCAAACAGCCCATCGAGCAATCCAAGTGTAATTGAATCTAGCAAAACAATCAGAAATTGGAAGTCTATTCCAATAACAATTACCAAATGAAAATTTGGACCTTTGGGCAACCACAAACTCCCACATCACCTTTTAAAATAGTCAACCATCCTGATAACTTTTATTTATTTATTTATTTATCATAGTGTCTGCTTTTGGCACAACTTGTACTGGAAAGATTCAATGATCCATATCTAACTTTTCTTACGGGAACTCAAAAGGGAGGTGTAATCTAATTATACTATTGATAAGTTCATGATGAAATAAAAAAATAGGATGAGTAAGTTCGATCATGGTTAATTAATGAGTTCTTTAATAAAAGTGAGTTGTCTCACCTCATTTATGTTTATGAAAGTAGGTCAAGCATTAGGAGGCAAATTATCTAGCAAAACCTCAGACCTTGGGTGGAGACCTACCTGTCTTAAGATGATCTAGCATCTCAGAAAAAATAGATCTTAGACCTAAAAGACTTGTTTGAATGATTCTTTCTCTCATGGACTAAGTTAAGCATCAAAAACTTTCAACCCAGAGACTAGGATCATTGTTAAGATGAGGAGTAATTCGTTTAGCATTCACATCTCTAATGTCTATTCGACCCAAATCCCTAGTAGGGCTGGCAACTCTGTCCTGATTAATCAGATTGGACTTCTTCCACCACAGGGAGATGGATACTAAAGAAATTTATAGATAACCTGTTATGCCGTTTGTCCACTTCTCTGATATTTCAACAAAAAGATGATTATGCACAGATAGGCATTATACATCTCTCTGGGAAGTAAATTTCATATTTGCTCTTGTCTGTCTTACGTTTAGAGACCTCAACAAATAACTTAATAATGACATGCATTACAAGATTTTCTATTACCTCTAATGGCTATAAGAACATCATTGACATGGATTAAATGATATCAAAATATCATCAAAATAGATCAAATGAGATAAGAACATCATCAATATTTTACCTTACTAGCATTATTTTTTTCTTAACAAATGTTTCCTACTATTGAGATAAAATTTTAGATATTAAGGTTATTAATCTGTAACATCCCATTAGTTCCACATCGGAAGTGGACAATATGTATGATTGGCTTATATGGGCCTGATGAGTGTACTACGTTAACTCCCGCTTAAGTATTTTGGTCCATGGTTGAAGGACCAAAATGGAGTTATTGGCCAGTTGGCTCATCGTGACATTTGGTAACAGAGCCTACCTAGCACTATGCTAGGGTTCGATCTGGGTTATGTCGGGCCTTGACGAGGACGTAAAGTTGATGAGTGTACTATGTTAACTCCCGCCTTCATGGCTTCTGTAATTCCCTTCTCAATTAACTTTTAACATCTCGATGCTTAATGCCTTTCTTATAACATAGAGATGAGCATCTAGAAAATATGAATACATCATAAATTTTGTTAGAGTTTATAAGTATTTTAAGAATTTAAATTAGATTCAAATTGTTTAGAGTCCTAATTTTGTTAGAGTTTATAAGTATTTTACTATACGCACAAGCGGCTTGACTATTACAAAGTATAGAAATTAAATTCACACTCTTAGATGTCAATAAAATTTTTAATAGAAAGTCCCTCGACCATTTAACCTTTTTTTTTTTTTTTGTTTCCACAAAAGCAATAAATTTTGATTTTATAGTTGAGTGAGTTATACACATTTGTTTCTTGCTCTTCCAAGACATAGCACCACTTTGCAAGGTGAACATCTAACTAGTAGTGAATTTACTATCTTCTAAACTCGATATCCGACTTGTATCAGCATATCCTTCTAAAATAGTAAGAAATTTTTGTTTAATCTTGGATTTTGATGATGAAACCAATTGATAGTGTTTATGATTTGATCTATGTTTTGAGTGATGTAAAAAGCTTTGATTAGGAAGAGAATTAAAACAATAAGAATCATGTTGGGCCGAAGAAAAACATGTCAGAAGATTGGACATCGAGTCGAAGGATCGGTCGACATATCGATAGAAGGCCTCAGAACTTGGAATCGGGCATCGGGCCAAGAAGAGCAGAAATTGTATTAAAGAAATCAGAGTTGCCGAGGTCAATTGGCTGATTGGGCAATAGGCTGCAAGAGAGGATGATGCACCGAAGAATCGGACGAGGCGTCGATGAACTAATGACATGACAGATAATATTTGATTAACTTTGTAATAATTGTCTAGATCGAAGTAGGTTTTAAGTGTGCAGGATTAACTATGATGGCAATTAAGGTATAAAGTAAAATGAAGTTCCAGAGTCAAAAATGAGATTTCGTTGGGAGTTTAAGAGTTCATCAGAAGTCCGGACGTTCATTGGAAGTTCTATTGGAATTGACCAAGAAGTCCATGAGCTTATCAAAGAAGCTAGTCGAAACTCGCCAAGAAGATCATCGTGAAGTCCAGGAGCTTGTCGGGAGTCCATTGGAATATTGCCGAGAGATCGTCGGAAGTTCGTCGGAAGATCGCCAAAAGCTCGCCAAAAGAAACCTAGACTTACGGACTTATTTAGCTTAGTGAATGTCTTAAAATTTATAGTTAGTACATAATTGGGTTGAAATTGGGCTAACTCAATTAAGGGTCAATTGGACCAAAGTTTGGGCTATGTTGGGCCAAGTGAAAGGCTCAAACAGTGACCCAACAAGCGGCACCGTCGTGGCACAATCTCCAAAACTGTGTCAGACAATGGTATCACCAGTCTGGGTGATAGTACCACCCAGATAGTCTCCGAGAGACTGTCAAGAGATGGTATCACAAGATTGGGCAATAGTACCGCCCAACACAAGCAATGGTACTGCTAGTACCCCGAAAATTAGGGATGAGACATTGTTAGGCTCCAAGTTTGAATACACTTGAGGCCTATAAATACCCCTCTCATCCTTGGTTAACAAATACAAGAATTGAGAGCAAAAAGAAATAAAAACGCTATTGTAAACTTGTGAGAACTCCTCTCAAGTTTTAAGTGTTAGTCTTATTTAAGAGAGAAGTGAAGAGGGTTGTAAAGGTTCTCTCCTAAACTTGTCAAAAGAAGAATCAAGTTATAAGGGTAGTTGATCTTCGTCCATTGAAGGAAGATCAGTAGTGGAAGTCGGTGGCCTCGACGGAGAAGGAATCGGAAGTGGATGTAGGTCACAACGACCGAACCACTATAAATCAGTTTACATTTCTTTTTGAGCAATTTACCTTTACTATAAACTGCTTTACCTTCTTATTGCTTTCACTATGCTCCCATACAGTTTTAAGTTAATATCTTTTTGAAATAGGTTTAATCGAAACGAAATTTTGAACTGATGTGATTTTTATACGCTGCACTAATTCACCCCCCCTCTTAGTGCCGACTTATTCCTAACAGTTGGTATCAGAGCCACGTTATTTCTCATTTGGTTTAACACACAAGAGAAATGATTCTTTTTTACTTTCAAGAGGGCTTTTCTATTGTTCGTCCTCCCATGTTTAATAGGATGGGCTACACTTATTGGAAAACTCGCATGCGAGTTTTCTTACTTTCTTTGAATCTCGATTTATAGAATATTATTGAAAATGGATTTGAAAGATCTTTTCCTTCCAATAAACGATTGGAATGATTTGGAGAAGAAGACTTTCTCTTTCAATGCCAAAACTATGAATGCTTTATTTTGTGCTTTGGATAAAACTATTAATCGAGTTTCTATTTACGAAATGACTTTTGATATTTGACATACACTTGAAATCACACACGAAGGCATTAGTAAAGTTAAGATTCGAAAATTAATTATTTGATGCATAATTTTGAATTATTTCGGATGGAACTAAGTGAGACCATTG